CTTTCTACCATATTGTCGGATTGATACTTGGCAGCGAGAACCCAACGATTCCCCATCACATTGATGCCAGGAGGTAGGAAAACCAATTCCCAAGTTTCTTGGTCCCACTGAGTGTGCATCTCTCTGTCCATTGCCGCCTTCACTGCACAGCCCTTCCAACTCTTCAGAGCAATGGGGACAGGCATCTTCGATATGTTACAGCGACATCATGGATCTACGACACGATCTTCTACAGAGTCAAGTTCCTTTAGTGCTACAACTTCGTCTCTGCCGTCGGGGACGTTCATCGTCAACGCCACGCGGTAACGAACTGGCGGATCACCCTTGTTGGAGCGCATTGATCGCCGCAATATTTGCTGCTTTGCGGGCGGTTCTTCTGCAGAAAGATCCCCTGCAGCCTCCTCCTCTTCCGATAGCTCCTCTGCTAAATGCTCCCTTGCTGACAGTTGTTCTGCAGGTACTTCATCTGCAACACTATATTGCCGCTCTTCCGTGCGTCGTTCACTAGGGATGACACCAAGAGGCACCTCACTCCCCTCCTCACCAGAGGATGACGCAGAAAAAGAGGGCGCACTCAATGAGCCAAAGGGCGCGTCAGGCTCTTCGACCAACGGGCAACCGGCAGACACCTCGGCGTACAGGTCATCGGCAGAAGAACTAACACCTGCAGCTCCAAGGGTAGGAAGAACTTCAACAGAAGGAAGATTGGGTCGAGGAGTCGAAATCAGTGCAGGTGGTAGAATGACCTCAATCTCGTCATCCTCATCATCATCCACTATAGCCAGATCCGGCTGCAATGACGCCTCGTCAAAGATAGCAGGATCAACGACCTCAGTGGGAGTCTGCTTTGTCGCCTTCCACCCATCGAGCGACATTGCTTTGTAGAAGACTACCTCCACTGTGGTGACCAGCCGATTGGTTGCCAGATCGAGCACCAACCAGCCTCTACTCTGCCGCGACACCCCCAGGTGGAGAGCCCAACGGGTCTTAGGTGTCAGCTTTCCTCCATGCTTGTTCTGCGGACTGAGAAACTGCAGCATGCACCCCCAGACGTGAGCCATCCTTAGATCAGTTTTTTCGCCAAAGAGCAGCTCGTACGGAGTTGTCCCCGATGGCAGAAAAGAATGCTCAAGATGATTTCGCACCCAGACCGTCTGCAGAGCAGCAAGATGCCACCAGTGATGTGGAGCCCCCATGTGCAGAAGCATGGTATGGACAGCCTCTACCATAGTACGCATTGCACGCTATGCCATCCCGTTCTGCTTTGGCGTGTAGGGGCAGGTGAGGTCGTGCTCAATTCCGCATTCTTCGAGGAACTCCACAAATTGTCTGCCCAAAACCTCGCCACTACGATCAGATTGCAAAGCCTTCAGCGTTGCCTCACATTGCCGTTCTGCCCTCGGAAGCCACTTCCGAAAAACAAGCAATGCATCGCTCTTCTGCGCGATCGGGTAGATCCAGACATAGCGCGTCTTGCGATCCTTGAGAAGAAGAAAGTAGCGGCTGTCATCTTTAGTGGGAACTCGGAAGGGCCTGCAGAGATCGACTTGTACTACTCCCATCACCTTCTTCCACTCCCCTTTGCCGGAAAGCTATGTCAGAAGAGCTTGCCACCGACGTAAGAGATACATGGCAGATCGGCGCTCGGCATCTTCTCGCTGTCCAAGCTGCCGCCGCTCCGTGCACCGCAGTTTGCTTGATCGTCTCGACCCCAGCATGTGCCAAATGAACATGCCATTAGTCTATAGAAGAGCATGTGTTAGTCGCCAAGGTGGGGAAAGCAATCGCCTCTGCCATGGTCTTCTGCGACTGCCACGCCTACAGATCAGTGCTAAGAATACGTCCCTTGTAACGAGCTCGTCCAAGCACAGCACCGTCGGCAAAGAGCATGAGTATCTCCTCGCCAACGTCCTCCAGCTTCACTCCGGGTCCTTCAGCTGTCCGGCAGAAAGCAAATTTGCTTGAATTCCAAGGTCATATAGTACATCGGAAACCAAAATCTGCTTTCCCTCATCGCCAAGCAGAGCTATCATGCCTCACCCTCAGACAGCTTGGATAGCACCGTTGAATCCACAAACTTGCTGGATGTTGCCATCCACTCGCATGTCGACAAAGGCCTTGCCGTCTCCCATTAGGTGGTGCAAACATCCGCTGTCCAGCAAAACAGCTGTAGGGTTAACTTCTACAGCAGCCGCAATTGCCTGGAAGTCTTTGCCATTTTCAGCATCCAATGAGATCGACAGATTTTCCATCTTCTGCTGCTCCAGAATCGACTCAACCATCGAACACGATGGCCCTTTGTGATCTGCAGAACCAGTGTGGGTAGAAAAGCCGTTATTCTGCCCACCAGACGTTGGAGCGCTTTCCCTCTTCTGCACAGGATCGCCGTTCTTCTTGTCCTTGTGATCTGGGCACTGAGCAGCAAAATGACCAATTTCACCGCATTCCCAGCAAGGTTTACCCTTGCTCTTCTTGTAAACAGATTTATCCTTATTGTTGCGGCTGTCCTGGGACTCTGCGGCAGAGTTGTTCGACGAAGAAGCCCATTGCCTCTGCTGCTGCTGAGGAGCATGTCCAGCTATCGCCCAGTTGGATTGCAGCATGGGGGACTCCTTACTCTGCTCGATCGCCAAAGTGCACTCTTCCTCTACAATGTAGCTCGTCAGAGTGTTCTCGTCCAGGGTCTTCTGAATGTCGGGAAATTTCAGAATTCGTCCAGGTAGTTGTACTGCACTGGCAGACCTTTGACGACATGCGTCACGTAGGACGTCGTCGAGTACTGCACTCCAATCATCCACAAATTGGCGAGAGTCTGATGCGCACGAGTGCAGTAGACACTAGCAGTTTCATGCTCTGCCATCTCCGGACTCGCCAACAAGGGCGACAAGGCCGAGACCTAATACTTCCTCAATGAACCATGCAAGAACGTTCTTTCCCTAACGTTATCGAAACATCGCGCAGGTGCACTCTGCCAAGTCAGCACAGGGCCCTGATAGGGTCAGTTTTTAGAATTTGGAAAACTAACAGCACTACGAATCACTAAAAGGCAACAGTGCTATGAATCACAAAAACGTAACAGCACTATGAATATCAACGTTTAAACAGTTCAGGGTCTGGGCTAAGACCCCTCTCTAGTAGGGGACCAAACTAGGACCCCCCTCCAATAGGGGGCCGCACTATGTTCCCACTTCAATAGACTGAGGGGACCTCTTGCCCTAAGGCCGACTTGAACTTTGAGCCCTCATTTCGATTTATAGACCCCTTATTCAACCACCCAGTCACATGTGCGCACGTGCCACTCCTACTGCGATTTTTTGCCTTTTTACTCACCTCGTGTTCTGATGCTCTCGCATCCATATGTCTCCCTCCCCTTCCTCCTTCCCCTCTCCCCCTTTCTCCCTCCTCCTTTCCCCCTCCCCCCCTTCCTTCCTCCTCCTTCCGCCCTCCCTCTTCCCCCCTCCCCTCTTCCTCCCCCCCTTCCCCCCATTGCAGCATGGCAACCTGGCAGAACGCGACCTTCACGTTCCGCGTGGGTCTGCTCTCGCCCACCATGCCGCCGATGCTCTCCGCTCCCAGCTATGTCACCACTACCTTCCCCCTTTCCTCCCTTCCCCCCGCGCTCTTCCTCCCCCCCTTCCCCCCATTGCAGCAAAGCAACCTGGCAAAATGTGGCCTTCACGTTCCGCGTGGGCCCGCTTCCGCTCTCCAGGCCGCCGTTCCTCTCTGCCCCGAGCTACACTGTCAAACATGTGTATTTGTCATGTTTGTATAGACTGTATAGGGTCGCCTCTTAGAGAGTACAACACGTAGGTATATCTGTGTGTACTCTCACTCTATCTAATCATTCACTTCTCAACTTTGATATGGTATCACACCATTCACCATTTCCTCGACCGTGGCTTCATTCCCTACCTGTGTCTTTAAGCTCGACAGCAACAGCACTACGCACACAACCACATACTCGCGCATGGTGTCCGAGCAGATTCCGCTCACGTCCCCGTATGATATGGTCGGGCTGTTCAGGTACTCCAATTTTTACTCGTTGATCCGAGTGAACGGAGTGTATCAGTTCGGAAGGATCAGTTCTACTAATGTGACCGCGATTTGACGGCTGCACGTCATAGGCAGAGGCGACTTGATGGCTGTGTGTGAAGTGGGCTGAAGACATGGCAGGAATGGTCAGCAGCCTCCCCAATCCCCTTCTAGGACATTCCCCATGTGTGATTGCATGCAGCCAGTTCCTCGTAAGGTTGTCCTCATTGTAGTGAGGGCGGGCGTGTAGCACTAGCAACGCATGCAAGATGGCCTGGCTTATTCCTCTTGTAACTAGTTATGATTCGGAGTTTCTTTTCTGTACTTGCCAGCATAACGCAAGGTCAAAGCCAATGATTCTGGGGGTTTCGCAACCTTCGTATCAGCATTGGTCTCATACAACTGATCTGATGATGGTGATGTTGATTTGACTAGCCTGTGGTTTGCTTGGCACTCCTTTTTTCTCCGCCCAGTGACCCAACTCGGACCGCGAGGCTTCTGAATGACGGTAAGCGCACCAAACTCGCAGACTTGAAGGGCCTTCGAGGTGAGGTTGCACATGCACCACACCGCCAACACACGCGCCACCTCTTTGACAATAGACGCCGTGTTCTCGATGTCCTCATCCACCTGGACCTGGTCCTCTGTGCGCTTCTTCAGCCCACAGAGAAGAGCTGGCGCCAGCATTGCCTCCCCGTTCGACCGGTTGTGCTTGGCAGGCGCCCCTGAATTTGCGCATCACTGCAAACCCTGCTCCATCAGCGATGGCAGAGAGGGCTGCGAGATCGTCTTTTGGGTGAGTTGCCTTGGCTGCTTCTGTAGCCTCCCGTTGCAGCTGCTCCACATCAAGACCTCGGCATGCTGCCCAGAGGGTTGACAATGTGGCGGCCATCGCAGAGATGCAGATGACGCTGTTCACTCCAAAACCAACTGCCCACCAGATCCTGCTAAAGCAGGTCAAATGTATCAAGGTCAAATTCATCTGAATGCCGAATGGAAACTAGTGAACTGTACATCAGAGCTCTAACAGGTTACAACATTTTGCCTATAGCACCACAACCCATCAGCCACCAATGGAATAGCAGAAGGTAGAATGGCTACGTTTCCTCTTGTGGAGAACCATTCAGAGCCAGCTGGCCAGGTCTTAGCTATGCAAAGTACGCTTTCCTGAACTGAGCCCTCATGAGCTGCCTGCCGCTTGGCATGAAGACACGAACAAAGTAGTTTGCCGGCTTCTTCATCATTGGTTTGATCTAGAGCACAAATGAACAAATATGAACGTGTTAAACTCCAGCACGGTTGATATTCCATGATGATGCAAAAAGAAGGGATTTTAGAAACATTGAAGAGCAGCTGAGAATGTCTGAAAATCGTATTTCTTACCTTGGCAGCATAATCTGCTGCTGGAATGGCTAGGGCAATAGTCAACAAGTAGCTGTAGCGCCGCAGGAAATTGATGGGCCCAGGACGAGTGGCGTTAGGTAGGGGAACGCCTACGAGTGGAATGTAGATGTTGGCTGCTGTTGGTTTGGTTTGGTCCGAACCCTTGTGTATGTTCAGGTGAGGTGTCACTCCACCGTTGGACTGCAGGTTCTTCAGATTTACATACAAGTAGAACGAGTAGGAACCGTTTGACAACCTGAGCAGGAGGAGGGAGGGCACTGGCAAGCGGATGAGCGGAACTTAGACAATAAAACATTCATGAAGTATTATGAAACTTGAGATGGCAAGAATCTCTAGAACAGATATCATTACTTAAAAATAGAAATGGTTACCTTTTTTTTCAGGACAAATCTAAAGCTTACTTGTAGAAGGTGAAGCTGAAGATGCCTCTTGCGCCAATATCTCTCCCCCCTGCGCCCCACCCGAATTTCCAGGGTCTCAGGTTGGCCACCAGTCGGCCTGCAATGACGGGAGTTGGAATTTTGGGGAAAGACAAATCGAGCGTGAGTTATTCAGCCACGTGGGGTCAAAGGCGTTAAGACACTAAAAATCATTTCAATGTAATGTAAAAATGAAAATGACTGCAGACAATATTTCACTGTACCAACAAATATTTCATATGCGAGCTGACGCGAGGGTTCTCTGAGATGTGAACTTGCACCCGCGCCTGCCTCAGGGTCCGAGTGTGACTGCCAAGACAGGCTCCCAACGTGCAACGCGGATTCCGTCAAGCCTTTGTAATCCAGAGACAGACGCCCCTGTGGCAGAGCGGAACCTGTGCAGTTTGGAAACAGAATTCGGATCAGAACTCATTGCTTTTCTGAATTAGGGACTTCTAGGCATCATGGTGTTGGAGTGGTTCCGCCACCCACAACGGACTACTCGTGACTTGGGGTGACGAGGAGAGAAATGCAGACTTGGGACGAGAAGGAACTAAGAAGCGGGTATTGCGTGAGCGTGAGGTGTACGGAAAGGAGAGAAGCAAGAGAGAAGGTTGGAGGAAAGAGTGATTGAGTGGAAGAAAGGAAGGGAAGTGGCGAGAAACAGATTGACGTGGGGCAAAAGTTGAGTTTCGGACGGGGCGTGTTCAACAAGCATTCAGACTTCGGACTAGGGCGTGTTCAGCAAGAAAGTCGCGGTTGCGTGTGCGACTCGGCTTGACACGAGGCGCACGAGTTACTCGCAGCGCACACGCAGTTATGAAGCGCGAAATCTCTTGTACTTCCACTATAAATCTGTTTGAACATTTGTGCTTTGTATCTCATTGTTTCTAGTGAAAATTGCTGTCATTTCGTATTGACGATTAGCAGCTACTTTGAGATCACTTTTGGAGGCAAGGCCCTTGAGGCTATTTGCAAGAGTATTTCTAAATACTTTTTCGCTGCGCCGGAGGCGATAGTCGCCTAGACATGGCGCAACGAAGAAGGCGATGGGTGATTAGAGTAGCACTCACACAGGACAAGAGCGCGCAGCAAGGCATTTCGTTGGGGGAACGCCATGTTCAGCTCGCTTATACTATAAATGTCCAAAGAAGCCTCCAGAAAGTGACGCGTCTATAGATGCGAGAGCTAAGCCAGGCCGAACGATGCTCCTATTAATAGATAGCCGCTATGAAATCGCCTGTATCGTATGATGCAGAAGCAAGATGACTCTTGAAGCGACTTGCGGCAGTGCTCTCAGTTTGAAGCTCAGGTGACACTATGAGCAGCAGGAAAATCTGTTGAAATTGTTGACTACTCACGCGCCTGTGCACAAGTAATGTATGTGGTGGGCTGGGATGGAATTTGGAGTGAACCCATTTGGGTGGTCACAACTCACAATCACAGGGGCACACGCATGTGCCCCGCAATCGCCAAGTCGCCCTTCTTGATCTTTCGAGGCGCGCACATTGCAGCAGTTGTCGCTTGCAGTCGCCCAACTTTCATCGCCATGACAAGTTTCCCCATCACCACCCAACAGATGTTTGGAAGCGAAGATGCCGAATTGCTCGTTTGAGAGGTAACAATGTTAATGCCTGTCGCACACGCAACCTTCGAGCAGCCAGTCCGCAACCTTCAGTAGGCTCTGCACTCATGGCGAACCACGAGCGCGCCACGTACAAACAAGTCCCATTGCTGCGAAACAAGGCCTGCGAATTTTCTTTCCCAATAGGAGCTTCCCTAAGCAGGCGAAAAGGAGAATTACAGAACGGGATTGTTACAACTACAAAAATACAGCCAATGGGTATTTGGTAAGGCAAGACAAAGCAAAAAACATGCATTAGACCTAGGACATTACTCCTACCTCTGTATCAACTATTGGGCTTGCCAAATCTTGGAACAACCTTGCAAATTCCCGGTGGGCAGCTTCAACCAAGTCCCACTCCACCCACTCGTCTCGATATGTTCCCGGATAGGCCTTCTTCAGCCGCCTAACTGCTTCGTACATTTCCCGCCGCCACGCTGGCAAAGGAGAACCTCCACACCCCATGCTGAGATTGTCCATGTAAGGAAACTGGTGGACGTGTTGGGTTACACAAGAAATCAGTAACGCTTTGCGAGCTTTGCGGAGCCTCAAAACACGAACAAACAAACACGACTCTGTACCAGCATGAGCCTATTTCGGCATTCCACGCTAAGCCAGTCCATGTAAGGGAACAAGTAGGTCGAGTGGGATTGAAAGGAATTCAGGAGAATAGGATGAACGCAATACACCAAAGGCTTGAGGGCGAGTAGGACCATAAGCTCTTCCGCACCCCTGTGGGTGCATATCCATACCTCCCTTAGGTGGTACCTGCTCCATACATTTCCAGACTGTGGGTGTACCTCTCCAGCCAGCACCCCTTGCTCCCTCCCTTGGCCCTCAAAACAGGCCATCAGACACTCAGATCTACCTCCCTCCGACCACCTTAGCTCAGGTCTACCTCCCTCATGCCATACCTGCTCCATATCCAGCCTGTGGGTATATCTCTCAGGTACCCCTTGCTCCTCCATGCTCGCATACAGACAACGCACGCCGTCCTCCAGATCGGATCTGGGCGGCAGGGACAGCCGGCCGGACAGTAGCTGCGCCACCCACCGAGCCTGCAGCTGACACAGTGGGAAGGGGACGACCTGGGGGGGGCGGGGAAGAGGCGGGATGAGGGGGGGAGGATCATGGGAGAGGGGAAACCTTCTGAGGCCCTGAGAGGAAGCTGGCCTGGGGATGCGCAGCTGCGCCACCCACCGAGCCTGCAGCTGACACAGCGGGAAGGGGACGACATGTGAGAGAGGGGTGGGTAGGGAGGGAGAGGAGGGGGGAGAGGAGGGGGCTGTGAGAGGGGGAGGGTTTGATTGGAAGATGCAGCAGCAACACAGGAAGGAGAGGACAAGAACAACTAGGAGTGAGGAGATGAAGGTCCTGAACAACAACAAATGATCAACACAAGGAATGCTGATGAAGGGAGGGGGGTGTGAGGGGTGGGCCGGCCCACCTTCCAGGGAAGACCGATGAAGGAGAGGGAGGGGGCGAGGGCCGGAGGGAGGATGTGGCGGAACAAGGGGCCGACACGATTGTTGCAGACAGAGAGGAGGGAGGGGGGCAGGGCGAGGAAGGGGAAGGAGTAGATGTAGCTGCTTGGGGTGAAAGGGAGGGGGACGCAGGGGATGACGGGGCGTAAGAAGAAGAGGTGAGAGTTGGCCATGGAAAAGAGGGCAAGGGCTGGGGAGGAATTTCTTTTTTAGGAAAATGATTTCGAGAAAAAAAAGGGGGGGGGGGGAAATAATATTGACGCGTACCCGGTGCAGTGCATGATGACGTCCGCATGGCATGTGAACCCATCTTCAAACTCCACTGTTCCATCTGCATTGGCCCGCCTTATCTGCACTTGGGGTTGGGGGGGGGGGGGGGGGAAGGGGTGTCGAGGGAATGGGGGATGAGTCCATTCACAGTTCCGTCTGTATTGGCCCGCCTTATCTGCACTTGGGGGGCGGGGGGGGGGCGGGGAGGGGGGGGGAAGATGAAGGGACGGGAGGAGGGGAAGGGGGGAATGACGGGGAGGGGGAATGAGGCACGGAGGGTGAAGGAGGGGAAGGGAAAGGAGAAACAAAGCAGGAGGGTTTTACCATGGGGTGCTGCTGCACTTGGCCCCTTAGATCCTCCAAATACCCCGTCTCAATAACTCCAGCCTCCGCACCGGCAGTAGAGGTCAAGGGATGGCTAGGGGCTCCTACAAAGGCAGCAGAGGGGGGGGGGCAGGGGGATTACCATGGGGTGCTGCTGCACTCTGCCTCTGAGGTCCTCGAAACACCCTGTCTCAATACCTGCAGATACACCAGTGGCAGTAGAGGCCACGGGATGGCTGGGGGTTCATTCTAAAGCAGCAGTGGGGGTTTGGGGGGCGGGGTTCACCATGGGGTGCTGCTGCACTCTGCCTTTGAGATCCTCGAAATACCCCGTCTCAATAGCTCCAGCCGCCGCTCCGGCAGTAGGAGCGCCAGCAGCAGCAATAGTAGCACCAGTACCAGCACTGGCAGCAGCAGCACGGGCAGCATCATCACTGGCAGCAGCACTGTCTTTCCGCCAACCCCTAGCGCAGATGTGCACCTCTTGCGCCACGGAGGCGAGCTCTCTCGCTATGTCCTGCCCACTGGCCTCCGCGCCCACCACCACCACCACCTGGGATGGCAGGAAGCAATGGGAGGGAGGTAGACAGACAGACAGACCGACAGACCGACAGACCGACAGGCAGACAGACGAGAGATTTAGGAGCAGTAAACCAGGGATACGGCTTGAGCCCTCTCGCTATGCCGTCCTGCCCACTGGCCTCCGCGCCCACCGCCACCACCACCTGAGATGGGAAGAACAACATGAAGGAGAAGCACCCAAGACAAAGCGAGTGCCGAATGAAGCCTACATGATAACAAGTGATGTTTAAATCAGCATTGAACTCGAACCTTTAAGGTTAATTCCTCAACAAGGACGCACCCATTTCTTATGGCACCTCCAAAATACATATATATATATATATATATATCTATATATATATATGTATATGTATACATATAACGACCGTCTATGAGTAAGGGCTTGCTTACCTTGCCTTCAAACCCCTCTGGGTAGCGGTAGTTATGGCTGTGCATGTGGATGCCCGGCCACGTGTCCACTCCTGATTGGTTGGGATAATTAAGTCAGGGTAATAGGCACATGGAGGTGCGAGGGGGGAGATGGGGAGGGAATAGAAGGTTTTCTTGAAGAGCGTGGATTATAACGTGGCTGACTGACTGTTCCAGCCATACACTCTCACTCACTCTTTCCATCCCTCCCTCCCTCACTCCCTCACTCTCTTTCTCACGCAGTCACTCATGCACTCACTCCCACTACCTGCTCATAAACCACCCGTCCTCATTACAGCCTCACCCTCTACTGTTGCAATCTTGGGCTGCGAGTAGTGCCCGTTGCACACCACCAACGCATCAAACTCCCTTTCCTCCACCCTCCCCTCTTCCACTTCCGCTTCACAACTCCCTCTACTATCTTCTCTAGACCGGGCAATCTTAACACGCCATCTGACAAAGGAAGAGTCCCCTCCTTTTAATAACTCCTGGATATCCTGGCCTTCCCCCTCCCCTTTCCCCTCCCCTTCCTCCTCCCTTTCCCCCTTCCCTTGCCCCTTTTCCGCTTCCCTCGCGCTCCTGGCCTCTCCGCTTCGCCGTTCTCGACTTTCCTTAACATCTGCTTGGCGAGCAATCACCGGAACGGCTTTAATTACACTACTATGGAGCTCCACGCGATTCGAAATTCCGAATCTATCCGCGTACTGGCCGAGATATCGCAGCACCTCCCTGTGCGACGGAAACCGTCGCATATCCGCGTCCGTTCGTCGCAAATCCGCGTCGCCACAGTTGCACAGATCCACGTCAGCACCAGGACGATCGCCAGGTAAAGGCGCGGAGAAGGGAAAATCCAAAAAGCCCATCAATTCTCGGGGTAGATTGGTCCTCAGCGACGCGTACATGCTACTATGCACCTGCTGCCGATTCGCATCCAGCCCTAGCAGATCCTCGGTCTCTATCCGCTCGTCATAAGCCCACACGCCGCCAATCTCTCCCCCCGCTTCAATCACAGTCACGGTGTGTCCTTCCCGCATCAGCTCGCGCGCTGCGGCCAGCCCCGCGGCGCCGGCGCCGATCACGGCGACGTCGAGCCGCCGGCGAGGCAGCTGTCCGCCTGACGAATCAGCTGCCGGCTTACGATCGCGGCTCGGCGCTACGTCCTCCGACGTGACAGCTGACGTCATCGTGACTAAGCGGCTCGACGTTTGTCTTCGGTTATGCGAGCTAAGCGGCCGAATAACCTTATCGAAAGAGACTGCAACGAGGATAAGCGGCGTTCGGAGAGGGCGGAACGGGGTGTGGCTGGAGGAGAGGGGGATCCGCCTATTCAGGGAACGCTCGAACAAAATTGGAGGGTAGCGTGGGGGATTAAGTGTGTGATATCGCGCATTGTGACTGTGACCTGCGAGGATCCTGCTATTGCTGCTCTTGCAGTCAGCACCGCAAGAACTAGACGGAATAGGAGCTGGACGTGCGTCGGCGCGTTTAGTATATAGACTTGGAAGTATATACAGGGCCGCGGCCGGCGCGACGAGCGATGCGGCAAGCGCGTGAGACGGCATGTGGGCCTTAGTGCACCCTGCCACGTGGCGTTTTAGGATGCTATGGGCGAGACGAGAGCTGAAGTACGACTACACCATGCCCCGCCAGTATCATCCAAGCTAGGACGGCTAGCTGAAAGCCTGTGGATGAGTCCAGAATGGGTAGATGCAGTGTATGGCGTGTTTGTGGTGCAAATGTAATAGTATGTTGCAGTGCGGTTCAGTAATCTCGAGGTGTGAAAAAAACTTGCATCACGGATTCCCGCCAAATCTGACAGCCCCTCATGTCAAATTGTTTACAGACCCTCCCCCAATCGCAGACCGAAATCTCTATGTTTTTCAGGCAAGGTACATGTCACGTCGCATTGCACCTCGCTCGCACACACGACACTGGTTACCCTAATTTTAGCGCACGAGCCTCACAATGCGACCGGACACGCAAATCGCAAAAGCTACGACTCTCGCCAGGTTCGGAGCTGTTTTTCGCCAGCTCTTTTCCAGTTCGCAAGAATGATGTTGCGTACTGCCCCGTGATGCGAAATCGAGATACAAGGACCCTCGTACCCCCCCTTGTATTTCCCCAGGTTTCGGGTTTAGGGAGGAAATAAGCCGAGTCTAGGCAGGGGAAAACTCCTAGAACAAGCGAGCTGAGACAGTAGGTTGAGTGCGATGGCTGATCGTTGTTAGAATAAGGGAGCTTGCTAATTGCCTGCATATAGTTTCCATTCTCTTCCACAACAGCATGGGATCACCTGACGTGGGATCACCACGTGACGCTGCCGCGCAAATCGCTTCCGACCTGCCAGTCACGGACCTCCGCCCAATGGAGTCGTCCCCCGCCGATTCCGCCGCGAATTCCACAGTAGCTTCCGCGCAATCCCCGCCAGTTGCGGGGAATACACCCGCGGCTGCCGCTGATCTAGCAGTCCCTGCCCTGCCAGCTGACGCGGCGGCGGCGCCAGCGGAGAATGCAGCACCCGCGGACGGCGGAAAGCAGGCGGCATCGGCGGTAGCGGCTGTGACGGCGGTGACGGCTGTAGAGGCTGTAGCGCCTGCAGGGGCTGTAGCCGCGGAGGGTTCGGCATCCGCGGACGGCGGAGGGCAGGCGGTAACGGCTGTAGCGACGGACGGCGCAGCATCCGCGGACGGCGCAGCACTTCCGGTTGGCGGAGGGCGGCCGATGTGGAAGACGACTCTGTGCTCGTTCTTCCGCAAGCACGGGGAGTGTAAGCACGGCGCGCAGTGCAAGTTCGCGCACGGGGAGGCGGAGCTGCGCGCGCGCCCGGACGGGTCGTGGGACCCCACCTCCGCGCGCGGAGGGGCGAAGCGGAGCGGAGAGGGGGCAGGGGAAGAGGACCAGAGCAAGAAGGGGAAGAATCGGGGGAGGAAACGCGGAGGGGGAGGGTGTTGGGGAAGAGAGGCGGAAGAGGCGGAGGGTGGGGAGGAAGAGGGAAAGGAAGGGGGAGCAGGCGGGGAGAATGAGTGGAGTCGCCTTTGCGTGCAGAATTTGCCCAAGTGGTGGAATGTGAAGCACTTTCGCGAACTGCTAAACGAACTGGTGGGAACAGGTTACATGTTGCCAACAGGGTCCAGTAAAGGCAGAGGGGGAGGGGAGGATCCTTGCACCGTGTAGAAACCAACCCACCGCAGCCTACGCTGCAGTCGAGAACCCTTCTCCGTTTAACCCTAATTCGCTAAACACTGAGTCGCTAAACCCTGATCCCGCTAAACCCTGGTCCGTTAAACCGTTGGTTACACGCCGGCTTTCTAAACCTCGGCCATCACCTAAGCCCTCCATACTCCAATGCTCCTCCCAAACCTTCCAGCCTAAAACCGTGACGTTCCCCAAGCCAAGGTATAGGTTGCCGCTGATCCCTCATTGTGCCCCTTAACCCTGCCCTGGTTTTTAAGGCGAAAACAAAAAAAGGGGGGAGTGGGGGGTTTAGGCACCTAAACCTTTGCCTGAACCGTGAAGTTCTTCAAACCAAGGTATAGGTTGTCCGCTGATCCCTGCTTGTGCTCGTTAACCCTGACCTGCTGCCTTGATTCTTGAGGCGCCTCAAAAAACAAACCAACGTATGTAGGCTGCTGCTGCTGCTGCTGCTGATCCCTGCTTGTGCTCGTTAACCCTGACCTGCTGCCTTGATTCTTGAGGCGCCTCAAAAAACAAACCAACGTATGTAGGCTGCTGCTGCTGCTGCTGCTGATCCCTGCTTGTGCTCGTTAACCCTGACCTGCTGCCTTGATTCTTGAGGCGCCTCAAAAAACAAACCAACGTATGTAGGCTGCTGCTGCTGCTGCTGATCCCTCCTTGTCCTCGTTAACCCTGACCTGCTGCTGCCTTGCCTTGTGTCCTTTTATGGGGCTGTTGGGCGGCAGAGTGTGGACTATTGTGGGTCGAGGAAAAGCCAGGGAGTGGCGTTCGGGTTTGTGTCGTTTGAATCAGCCGCCGCTGCAGACAAGGCCAAGCAGGTGAGAAGGGCAAGCAGGTGAGAAGGGCGAGCAGGTGAGAAGGGCGAGCAGGTGAGAAGGGCGAGCACGTGAGAAGGGCGAGCAGGTGAGAAGGGCAAGCAGGTGAGAAGGGCAAGCAGGTGAGAGTGGGGGAGCAGGTGAGAAGATTCAACTTGTTTTTCCTTGTCACTGTGGCAAGCACATAAGAAGGGGGAAGCAGGAGAGAAGGGAAAAGCAGAAGGGGATTTGACAGGTGATTTCTTGTCATCGTGGCATGGTCGGCAGTTGAGGAAACAGACGCTGGACGTGCAGCTAGCATGGGTATGTGAGACACCTACAGCATACCACGCCACCCCCCCATCCCCGTAACACTCATCCCCGTACCAATGGCTGCTGCGCGGAAAGGAGGTGCACAAGCAGACGCTGGACGTGTATCCAGCATGGGTATGCACTATGTGAGGCACCTACAACATGCCAATCCCCATTCCCACTCCCTCAAACACCCCTGTCTGCCCTTCCCCCACCCCCTTTACAATAGGCGCTGCACGGAAAGGAGGTGCGGAAACAGACGCTGGACGTGCAGCCGGCGCGGTACCGCACTCAGAAACAGACGGCGTTCGCCGGCCAGGAGGGCGACGAGGGGCGCGAGGGCAAGAAGAGACGAACCGAGGGCGGGGGGGAGAAAGACGGGGAGATAGGAGGGGAGGACAGGGGAAAGGATGGGGGGAAAAGGCAGGAAGACGGGGAGGAGGGAGAGGGAGTGGATGAGGAGGAAGGAGAGGAGGGAGAGGAGGGAGAGGAGGGGGGCGAAGAGGGAGAGGGCAGGGGAAAAGATGGGGAAGGTGGAGGTGAGAAAGCAGAGGGGAGGGCGAGGAAGGAGGCTTGGGAGGCGGTGACCCCGTTAGCTAAGATGGGGTACAGGGAACAGCTGGAGATGAAGGCGGGAAGAGTGGCGAAGGACCTTCAGCGGATCGTGACTAAAATGAGGAAACTTTATACCAGGAAGAGCACCGCCCAGCTGCCAGAGTGGATCAAGACGGCGAGGGAGAGAGGTGAGAGAGGGGAGAGAGGGGAGAGAGGGGAGAGAGGGGAGGGAGGCGAGAGAGGGGAGGGAGGGAGGTGAGGGAGAGATGAGGCATGAGGGGGAGTGGCGAAGGTCCTTCAGAGGATTGTTACCAAGATGAGGAAGCTTTATACCAGGAAGAGCACAGCCCAGCTGCCATAGTGGATCAAGACGGCAAGGGAGAGAGGTAGGAAGGGGAAAGGGGAGAGGGGGAGGTGAGAGGGAGGGAGGTGGGTTATTGGTGAGTGGAATCACGACTTCCTGGTGCTCGATGGGTACCGCACCACGAGTGCGAGTGCGAGTTTTCATCCCCTCTTCCCCTTTCTCTCCTCTCCCTCCCCCCCCCCTCTTTCCTTTCAGCCCATCTCCCCTGTGTGTTCGAGGGCATCCACGCCTCCCCAGTGGTCGACGGCTACCGCAACAAGTGCGAGTTTTCCATTGGCCCCTCGGCTGACGGCCAGGCCGCGGTCGGGTTCCTTCTTGGAAACTTCCGGTGAGAAACGGGCACAGGCCACTGGGCTAATGCCAGGCGGACAAAGCAGCAGTAGCAGCAGTCACTGAAAGCCAGGCGACTAGTGGCATTTGGGTCACTTTAAATAGGATCCCATCAGCAGCAGCACTGTGCTTGCTTCCAGTGTGGCTCAAGAGGTCACAGGTAGTTTGAGTCGACTCAAATAATAGCCACCAGGCTTGCGTCTCAAGTGTTTTGAATGCCTCTACGTTACGAGTTCTCTTCTCCCCCGCCTTTTGTAACAGCTCTCGTCTCATCGCGTTCTTTCACAAGGTGCATATCCTCGTCTCATCTCAGTGATGGTGTGACAGCAGTGGCAGAGCCAGAGGGTTGCAGAATCATTTGTTTAATCACTTGTGCCCCCATCCCCTTTTCCTGGCTCCCAAACTCAACCTCCCTCTCGCGGCTTCCAGGGACGGAGTGACAGCAGTAGCAGAGCCGGAGGGTTGTCGAAACATCTCCCCCGTATCGATCGCCTTTGCACGGCTGGTGCAGGGGGTGGTGAGGGGCTCTGCCCTGGCTGCTTGGGACAAGATCCACAACCGGGGCTTCTGGCGCCTGCTCACAGTGAGTGAAAGAGATAGATGGAAAGAAAGTGGGAATGCGTGTGACAGAGAGAGTGGGGCTCTGCATTGGAGGCTTGGGACTAGATTAACAACCGGGGCTTCTGGCATCTGCTCACGTTGTGAGGGTGGGTGGGTGGGTGTTGGAGGGAAAGAGGGATAGTTTGTGTGAGTGACAGTTGGTGCAGGGGGTGGTCAAGGGCTCTGCTCTGGCTGTTTGGGACAAGATCTACAACCGTGGCTTTTGACAGTCTCTCTCTCTCTCTTTGCTGTTCTTCACTGCAACTTAGACTTCCTATGCTCACCCCTTTTATATCCACAGGTGAGGGAGGGTAGGGCAGAGCCACTCACTGCTGCTGAACCTGACCCTGCTGCTGCTGCTGACGTGGCACCCATGGACGTGGACCAGTCAGCTGCAGTGGGTGTGGATGGTGGGAGCAGGCAGGCGGAGAAGCAAAGCGATGGGGATGAGCAGTGCAAAGAACGGACTGGCACAGAGAAGACGGACAGAGAAGGGAGCCATGGGAGCGATGCAGTGAAGCAACTTGATGGTATGGGAGGAGATGGCGCAGTAAAGCAAGGGGGGGCAGCAACGCAAGGCGAAGGCACCGTGCAGGATGCCCGGCCGGCAGTGAATCAAGTGATGCTGCTGCTGCAGGTGAACCCAGCGGGCGTCGATCGGACGGTCGTGGATGCGGAGCTCAGTAGATTGACGGCTGAGATTGCAGCTGCGGCGGCGCAGCACAGACCACCGCTGCCTCTCACACTCATCCTCGTGCAGGTGGGAGCTTGGGCAGTTGGGGTCTTGAGTCTGGCTTCCTTCTATTGCCCTTGAGGAACGTCACAAATATTTTTTTATCCTGTTTTTTGGGGTGAATAAGGAGTTTGAGTCGATTCAACCCGGCTCCTTTTTCTCTAAGAGCCCTTTTTGTTGCTTTCTAGGAACTTTACTTCTGGCGACTTTTTTGCACTCTGAGCTAGCTGAGCAAAAAAGCGGCCAGTTGCCTCATAAGTAGACTTGAGCATTTTACCCGGTCGGGTCGCAGGTACCCGACCCGACCCGACATTTTGACCGGGTCGGGTATTAGTATTTTGACGAATTACCCGGCCGGTTCGGGTCGGGTACTCAGGCCGGGTAATGCATACCCGTTACCCGAGAATTACCCGAAATATCGGGTAATTTATTACCCGTCGGGTCGTGACTCGTGGGTACCCGACCCGACTTCGGGTTTGTTAGTCCAGGTTTGCTGAATTTTACAGCCACCTAGGGGTACCCGGGTAATATTACCCGAAATCAATTAAATGCGGGTCGGGTATACCCGACCCGCCAGACGGGTACCCAATTACCCGGTATTAAAATGCCGGGTCGGGTAACAGACCTCCAAACATTACCCGGAAATTACCCGACCCGACCCGACCCGGACCCGATCGCGGGTAGGGCAAAACCGGGTCGGGTCGGGTAATTACCCGGTTTTGCTCATGTCTACTCATAAGTCTCACTTTTTTTTTTTTTATCGCCTCATATGCTCTTTCAGCTTTTTCTCAGACTGCCGCACCACCAAACATGCAACCTTCCCCCACCAACCCCTCCGTCTCAACTTCTTGCAGGAGCACTCGGGCGTGTCCAACGCAGCTCCTGAAAGCTGCTCCATCCGCATGCTGTACTCTCGTGAGAGTACCCTCCAGGCAACGATGTCAACAGCACCGGCATCAGTACCGGCTTCGGCAGAGGCCATGGCAGCCAAAAGTGCAGGAAGTGCTGGGAATGTGCCATCAGCAGCAGGAGGAGAGGCAGATAAGGGCACCGTAGCATCAGCACCAGCAGAAGCAGCAGCACCAGCAGAAGCAGCACCAGCAGCACCAGCAGCACCAGCAGCACCAGCAGCACCAGCAGCACCAGCAGCACCAGCAGCAGCAGCAGGAGAAGCAGCAGAAGTTGCAGGGGTGGCAGAAGTGGCGGGGCAATCAGGGTCTGACACGCACATATACGACCATCTGTGTGGACTCAAATTCCGCATTTCACCAACAGCTTTCTTCCAGGTATCATGGGAGCTCAAGAATACTCACAGGCGCTTCACACTCCTACTCCTCCAAACTCCCCTACACACATGCCCGAAGTTTTTTACAAACGAACTTCCTCCGTCCCCTTCCATCCCAAGCACAGTTGCTCCATCTGCCAGCCTTTGTTTGGGCCAGCTTTCGGGCTCCCCTTCTCTTGCCCCTCGTACCTTCTCTATACCTTACCCCTGTTTCGCTCCTTCCCCACCCTTCCCCCCCTTCCCCGCCTTTCCCCCCCTTCCCCCAGACCAACTCAATGGGAGCGCAGCTGCTCTATCAACTAGCCGCTTCCTGGGTCGCCTTGGGGCCTCCCCCTCTCGCTCCCCCTCCTGTGCTGCCTCCCCTATTGACCAAGCACCAGCAGCAACCGCAGCAGCAGGAGCAACAGGAGCAACTGGGGCAGCAGCAGCAGCAGCAGCAGCAGCCGCAACAGCAACAGCAACAGGAGCAGCAGCAGCAGCAGGCGCAGCAGCAAGTGCAGCAAGGCGAGGAGAGGGGCGGCGTGTTGGTGTTTGATGTTTGCTGTGGCACGGGCACCATCGGGCTCTGCGTTGCCAGGCATGCCAAGAAGGTACGAAGGGACGGGTCTGGTAGGCAACAGCCGCAATCACGGCAGCAAGGGGAGCAAGCGGACGACAGGGGCGGTGTGTTGGTATTTGATGTGTACTGTGGCGTAGGTATGAGCAGGCAGGCAGGCACGCACGCACGGTATTATGCTCCTTAGTGCTTATTAACGAGAGTGTGGATGCGTTAGTTAGTGTTTGATGTGCATTGAGAGGTGCTAAAGTGGCTGGCTTTGCATTGCAATAATGTTTACAAGGCAACTACAATCCGAGTATGGTGCCGCTGATAGCCTAGTGTCAGTCAAGAAGGGAAGGTAAGAAGTAGAGCCACTAATGGGAGCTAAGATTGGGTCCTTCTTGAGGCTCTAGAAGCCTAACAAGTCATATGGTTTGCAACGCCCAGTTATTCTCCTTTCCGCTGCAAGCATTGGGACTAAGATGATTGATTTGGCAATGGAAGATGCGAGGACGAACTAGATTATATTTCCAGAGTCAAATCAACCATCTCATTGTTCCCCTTCGCACTCGCCCCCTCCCCCTCCCCCCCCTGCTTGTCAGGTGATTGGCATCGAAATGAACGAGTCAGCAGTGGAAGATTCGCGGAGGACCTAGCTGCCAGGCCCGTGCCACCACTCAAATCAGAGCACGTGTCGTATTCTTCCCCTGCTGTGCCCTTTTTGCCTCCTCCTCTCTGCTTGACAGGTGATTGGCATCGAGATGAACGAGTCAGCAGTGGTGAAGATCACGTGTCGTATGATGGTGCATCGAGGACCTAGCTGCCAGGCCGTGCCACCACTCAAATCAGATCACGTGTCGTATGAAGTCAAATCGGACCAAGCTGCCAGGACCTAGCATCCCCTGTTGTGCCCTTTTTCCGTCCTCCCCCTCTTGGCTTATGCAGGTGATCGGCATCGAGATGAACAAGTCAGCAGTGGAGGATGCGTGGAAGAACGCGGCAATCAACGGCATTCAGCATGCCGAGTTCGTTGCTTCCAGGGTACGATGGGATGATTGAGCCTTGCTTTGTCAAAGGAGCCGTACTTAGGGGCAGGTGGGCGTGGTAACACGCGTAGGGATGCAGCCATCCATGGCATTCAGCATGTTGAGCTCATTGCTTTCACGGTAAACCAATAGTGCCTTGCTTTGTCAAAGGAGCCTTGCTTAGGGGCAGATGGGCATGGTAAGGCACGTATGGATGCTGCTGCCATCGATGGCATTCACGACACCAAGTTCATTGCTTCCAGGGTGAGTTTTGAGTCGACGCAAAACACATTCAGCACACCAAGTTCATTGCTTCCAGGGTGAGCCGAAAGAGCCTTGCTTAGCAGGCAGATCGGCATGGCTATTGGCTTTCCATCCACATGCTGCCGTCAACGCCATTCAGCACGCCGAGTTGGTTTTTTCCACGGTAAGCCGATACGTACCGGATATTACCGGCTGCACAATATTGGAATTAACACAAACACAATCGGATATTGCCATATTGCAGCACTCCTCGGGCTAAATTTTGTGGTTGGGGCTTTAGAACTCGCTCACTGATCCTTTTTTTTTCGAACTGCAGGCTGAGCTGGTTCTGCCAAAGCTGCTGCGAGAGTACCTTCCCCAGGTGCAGCTTACCCTGGAAACGGACAAGCCAGGCTCAGGTGCGGCAGCCGATGCAGCGAACGAAGCTGGAGGGGGCATGAAGGAGGACGGGCATGCAGCAACAGCAAAGAACGAGGTGGAGGAGGGGGAGAACAAGGGCGACTTTTCGTTCTCTCGAGTCGTGGCGATTGTTGACCCTCCAAGAGCCGGTCTGCATCCAATGGTGAGGAGAGGGTTGGTCTGCATCCTATGGTTATGAGAAAAGCCGTGGGTTCTCCCTCCCGTTTTGCTGGGATGAAAACATACCCTAAGGGAGATTCGATTCGTCCCCCATTAAGCCCCCCCCCCTCCAGTTTCCCTCCACGCATACATCATCCCCACTGACTCACTCTATTCCGTGCACAATCTTACCCCACTCACCATCTGGAGCCGTCCTCCTTCCCTTACAGACAGGGTGTTTTTGAGAAATTTCAAATGCACCGTCCCACTGCCTTGGGCTCTCCCTTTTCTGCATTCTTTACCCCACTCACCATCTGGAGGCGTCCTCCTCCCCTTGCATCCCCATCAGGTGCTACGAGCCCTTCGGGAGGATTCCAAGCCCAAGCAGCTGCTGTAATCCTTTCCCTTTCAAACCTCCCCTTTCTTCCGCTCCCTCCTTACATCCCCATCAGGTGCTACGCTCGCTTCGGGAGAATGCCAAGCTCAAGCAGCTGCTGTGAGTGATCAGTCAATGCCTTGGCGCTTAAAGAGCAAGTCAATCAGCATCTGTCAGTCCTTCTCATACAAACCCTTCTCCTGCCCCCCCCTGCTTTTATTTTTTCAATTGCACTACTTTCTAGCTCTGCTTTCTCTGCTTTCTCTGCTTTCTCTGCTTTCTCTGCTTCCTCTGTTCAATCATGCCTTCTCTGCCTGCCCCCTCCCACTGCTCCCCCCCGCGCATTACCGTCTTCCCCTTCTTTTCCTCCTCAACCCCCCTGTCAGCTACATTTCCTGCAACCCCTCTTTCTTGGTCTACAACGTCCTATACCTCTGCTCGCCCCCTCCGGAGCTTAATAAAACTCTAACTCTCCCCTCCTTATATGTATGCTCTAACCCCCCCAAACCCCCCCCCCCTCCCCCCCCCCTTTTCAGCTACATCTCCTGTAACCCCTCTTCCCTGGTAAACAACGTCTTGGACCTCTGCTCGCCCCCTCCAGAGCTAAAGAAGCCCCAAGCAGGGGGAGGCGGGTGGAGCAAGTGGGGGCCGGCAGCAGGGCAGAGGGCGATGGTGGGGGAGCCGTTCCAACCGGTCAAGGCTGTTGCTGTTGACCTGTTCCCCCACACAGAGCACTGCGAGGTGGTGATGCTGCTGGAGCGGTAGAGGGGAAGGGGGGGAGGGAGGGGGGTTGGGGGAGGAGTGGGGAACAAGACATGTTACAACGAGTGGAGACTAGTTGTGGATGTTTACTTGTTTCCGCATCGCACACAGAGCACTGTGAGGTGGTGACGCTGTTGGCGAGGTAGAGGGGGGGGGAGGAGGGAGGCGATGGCAAGGCCTCGTGGAGAAGGGGAGGGGTTGGGTATGGGGCGTGGTAATTCCACAAGTGGCGACGGGGCTGTGGCTGTAGACCCGTTCCCCCACACCAGGGCCTCAGATTCGTTTTGGGGCACGCTGATCGCTCAGGGTCTGGACCCTTTTTATCAGACGAAAACGGTCGGATGGTCTGATTTTCAGACGTGTTTTTTTAGGTTCATCTGAAAGTTGAGACCACCCAGAATTTATCATCTGAATGATAAGATATGGTTTTTCTTCTCGTCTGAATAATCAGACCCTAAGTTATATTTCGTCTGAGTCTGCAGACAACGCGTTTTTTTCCGTCTGAGACCTACAAGTTTTCCATTAGCCTAGAAGGCCACTGTTATAATCACAATAGGCTCGGATGTGCATATAATGAGAGATAGAGTGCACAGTCGGATTTCCGTCAGACAGCTTCAAATATTGATAACGATCTGCTCGATGACTTAAACGGTGATCTGTAAGTTGGATCTGGAGCGCGTTGCTGTCGTTTATCAGCAGCAAGTTGAATCATGAAATTCCATGAAGATTTGACGACGCTATGGCGGTTTGACTGGCAGGAGGTACAGCAGCCACTAAGGTCTTAGGAGTACAAAAACTTTGGAAGAAGAATTCGAGAGGGAGATGGTTCCCAGCCTCTACATACCCCAAGAGCCGAGGTCCAGGTTGGTGGTACACCACCACAGAGTCCCCAACCACGAAGATTCTCAAAACCAACCCTCCAAGGGGCTACACCTAGTGATATGTAACACTACATTCTTTTCACGATTCGGCACCTATTTCAAATCTGCGTGATCATTGCACCGCGTGGTTGTCAACTTATACATATGCTGTATGTAGAAGATATAGGCTAGCCTAGGTGTGTGCTTCTAGTGAGTACAACCTAAACAGGTATATGTTCTAGGTTTCTCACACTAGTCAATCATTCTTCCTTTCTAACATGGTATCGAGAGTAGATTAGGTCCACCCGCCCACTTCCGCCCGCGCCCTAGTCTCTCGCCCCTAGCTGCCCCCCCCTGGCCATCGCGTCCGCCCCTAGTCGGCCCCCTCGCCGTTGCGTCCGCCCCTAGCCGGCCCCCTGGCCGTCGCGTCCGCCCCTAGCTGGCCCCCTGGCCGTCGCGTCCGCCCCTAGCTGGCCCCCTGGCCGTCGTGTTCGCCCCTAGCCGACCCCCTGGCCGTCGCGTCCGCCCCTAGCCGGCCCCCTGGCCGTCGCGCCCGCCCCTAGCTGGCCCCCTGGCCATCGCGTCCGCCCCTAGTCGGCCCCCTGGCCGTCGCGTCCGCCCCTAGCCGGCCCCCTGGCCGTCGCGTCCGCCCCTAGCTGGCCCCCTGGCTGTCGCGTCCGCCCCTAGCCGGCCCCCTGGCCGTCGCGTCCGCCCCTAGCCGGCCCCCTGGCCGTTCGCGCCCGCCCCTAGCTGGCCCCTTGGCCGTTCACGCCCGCCCCTAGCTGGCCCCTTGGCCGTTCACGCCCGCCCCTAGCTGGCCCCTGGCCGTCGCGCCCGCTCCTAGCCGGCCCCCTGGCCGTTCGCGCCCGCTCCTAGCTGGCCCCCCTGGCCGTCATGTCCGCTCCTAGCCGCCCCCCCCTGGCCGTTCGTGGCCGCTCCTAGCTGGCCCTCTGGCCGTCGCCCCCGCTCCTAGCCGGCCCTCCCCTGGTCGTCGCGCCCGCTCCTAGCCTGCCCCCTGGCCGTTCGTACCCGCTCCTAGCTGGCCCTTTGGCCGTCGCGCCCGCTCCTATCCGGCCCTCCCCTGGCCGTCGCGCCCGCTCCTAGCTGGCCCCCCTGGCCGTTCGCGCCCTCTCCTGCCGTCGCGCCCGCTCCTAGCTGGCCCCTCCAAGCGCCCGCCCGGCCCCTTCTAGCGCCCGCTCGGCCTGTTGCGCCCGCCCGTCCCACACAGCCCGGCATCGACACGCCGGCCCGACTCCTGAGCCCGCAGCTCCCAGTGCACGCCCGGCTCTTGCGGCCCCGTGTCTTCTGCTCGGCACGGTTCCTCGACTCTCCGGCCCAGTGTCTTCTGCTTGCCAATGCTGGAGCGTCTTGCAGACGTCCTCCTGGAGCTGTTCTGCTGTATCCATGTGCCGCTCTGTCCTATGGAGCTGTGCCGCTGTGCCCCTGTATCGCTGACTCTGCACGATGGCTGACTTCGTCCTCCGTCTGGACGCTGAGGGCCATGCTGTTGACTTCGCAGCCTGGCTGTCCGACCTCCGCCGTCAGCTCACAGGTCAGCGCCAGGATGGGCATTCCTTGGTTGTCCATGCTGATGGCTTGCTCCCCCGCCCCCCCGAGCCTGCTCCCCTCCCTGCTGCCCCCACCTCTGCTGAGAGTGAGGCTTTCTCTGCTGCTGCACTTGCCTGTGCGGTCTGGGACTGCCACGATGCAGTTGCTCAGGTCGCTATCAGTCACGCCCTCCCTCTGTCTGAGCATTCGCGTTTCGCTACAGTTGATACATCCAAGGCTTATTTAGATGCTGTTGTTGCTTGCTATTCCACGCCTGCCTCCGCTACTGCAGGCCGCCTGCTCTTCCCTATGCTTTTCCCAGACCTTGCTTCCTTCCCTACTGTTGCTGACCTTGCCACTCACCTGCGCACCCTAGAGTCTCGCTACCGCACTGCTAGCATTGCTGCCCAGCTCACTGCGCTCCCTACCCCCTTCTGCATGACCCTCTACTTTATCGCTATGCGCCTGCTCGACCGCCTTGCTAGTGCCCGCGACCACATCCTTAGCCAGCACCCAGGTGATCTCACCCTGACAGCCTTCGTCACCGCCCTGACCGAGATCGAGACTCGCCAACGCACTATCGCTGAGTTGAGCGGTGTGCCGGCAGTCTCTATCTTTCACGGCTGTGCCCCCTCACAGTGCACGTTTACTGACGTTTCGGCTGCGGTCGCCACTGCGACCCCCCTGACCGAGACTGCAGCTGCGGTCCACCCGCAGCAGCGCCCGCGCCGCGCTGGCCGTGGCCGTCAGGGAGGGCGTGGTGGTGGAGCTGGTAGTGGTGGTGGTGCCGGAGACAGTGGTTCTACTGAGGGGACTGCCACAGCTAGCCAGGAGCAGCAGCCGTTGCCCCAGCAGCAGGAGCAGCAGCATCCGCCATCGCAAATGTCGCAGTCGTCGCAATAGCCGCAGTCGTCGCAGCAGCTGTCACAGCCCCCGTCGTGGGCTCGTCTCCCAACGGGTTGGCCCGGCACCTCCGTCGGTGGTGGCCGTGGTGGCGGCCCCAGCAGCTTGGTGTCTACCGGCAGCTCCGTTGGCGTGACCTGCCAGTACCAGCTTCAGACCGGGCCCCTCCGCGTCACTCTGTGCCGCCGCCCGCACCCGACCGCCCGCTGTTTCCGCCGCCTCGACGATCTCTTTCGTCATCGCTTTGGCCCGGCCCCGGACCTCCCCGATTGGCACAGCCTGCTTCGCCAGGGCGTGCCGATCTTTGAGTTAGATATGGATCAGATAGGCTGTCACTGGTTCCCCCCTTGCGACGTTCCCACGGGACCCGGTGTCTGGTCTGCTTACCCTCGACACCGCTTCCCCCCCAGTTGGTGCATCCTCCCAGGTCGCTGCAGCTTGCTCGTGTCGGTCCCTCACTCACCCGTCCCTTTTGTGGCACCACCGCTTAGGTCACCCTGCTCTCCCGCGTCTGCGTCACATGTCCCAGCACGGTCTTGTCTTAGGCCTCCCCGCGTCGCTCCCCGCCCTTCCCCCCTCACCTGCTCCACCGTGCACGCCTTGCGTAGAGGGCCGGCTCCGCCGTGCCCCTCACTCCTCCTCGCTTCGCCCTGCTACTGCTCCCCTTCAGACCCTGCACCTGGACGTTTGGGGCCCAGCCCCCGTCCCCGGACCGCGCGGTGAGCGCTACTTTCTTGTGCTCGTCGACGACTACACGCGCTACACCACGGTGTTTCCCCTGGAGTGGAAGGTTGACATGCCCGACTTTCTTCTCCCGTGGGTTGTGGCTGCGCATCTTCAACGCGGTCTCCCCGTGTTGTGTCTCCACTCTGACCGTGGCGGTGAGTTCGGCTTGGACAGTTCTGTCGTGCGAGGGCATCACCCAGTCGTACACCTTGCCGGACTCGCCATAGCAGAATGGGGTCGCTGAGCGACGCATCGGCTTGGTCATGGAGGTGGCTCGTACCTCCATGATCCATGCCGGTGCACCCCATTTTCTGTGGCCGTTCGCCGTTCGCTACGCCGCTCACCAGCTTAACTTGTGGCCACGCTCCCAGCGGCCGCAGGTTTCGCCGACCCTCCTTTTGACCGGGTCCCCCGGTGACGCGTCTGCGTTCCACGTCTGGGGTTGCCTTGCTCACATTCATGCCTCCGTCACGGACAAGATCACTGCTTGCACTGTCCCCTGTGTCTTCCTTGGTTTCCCCCTGGACTCGTCTGACTGGCTCTTCTACCACCCGCAGTCTCACCGCTTCCTACACTCTTGTGACGTCACCTTTGACAAGTCTGTCTCCTCCTTCCGTCACTTCCCTCACCGAGGTCTCCCGATTTCCCCCCCCCTGTTCCTTGCTCCCCCTCCACCGGTAGCCCCTCCTCCCCTCCCGCCTTGTCCTGCCCCGTCTGGTGTCTCCCACGTCACTCCCCTCCCTTCGGTTGTCCCCGTTGAGGAGTCTGCTGACTCTGGTGGTCCCCCCGGTCCGTCCTTGCCGCGCCCCCCTTCTCGGTGTCTCTGCCCCCACTGTCGCAGTCGCCGCCGTCGCAGTCGCCGCCGCCGCCGCCGCAGCTGCCGCTCTTGGCCTCTGCGGGTGCTGACGTTGAGGAGGGTGTTCAACCTGCGGCTCCTGGCGTGGTCTGTCCCAGCGGGTCTGGGGGTGCCGCTGGTGTTGGAGGGGGTTCTCGCTATGGGGGTGTTGGTTCTTGGGGTGCTGCCGTTGAGTGTTCTCCTGGTGGTCGTTGTGCCCCTGCCGGTCCGCGGGTCGAGACCCAGCCGTCGCCGCCGCCACCGCAGCTGTCACCGCCGGTCTCCGCTCTTCGCCTGCTCGGCCTTCCCTCCCCCGACCGCGTGCCGGCGTCTCCCCCACCTCCTCCTCACCTTCCTGTCTACGGCCTTGTGTTCCCGCCCCCGGACTCTTCTCTGGCCCGTCTTCCTCCTCGTTCCCCTCTTGTGTCCCCTCCGCTGTCTCCAGACCCTACACCTCCGTCCCACATTTGGTCTCGCCGTCCCCCGCGTGCTCGTCCCGTCTCTCCTGTCCCTCGCTCCCACCGTATGTTACTCCGTTCTCACTTGTCTCGTCCCCCTCTCCTCCCCTTGCCTCCTCCCTCGTCGCTTGTTGTTGCACCTCCCCCGCTGTCTGA